TCTATTTCATCAACTAATCCCGAACTTTCCTTAGCTCATTATAAGCATCGTGAAATGTCCTCCAATGTGCAATTGTGACCTTCAAATAGATTAGTGCAACATTCCACGGTAGTACAGACAAAGCACATTCCATTAAATGCTGAAATGTAGTAGGTAAATCATATAACCCAAATGATAACACACCAAACTAACACTAGAAATTTTCTGTGGTAAAGGCTGTCTTCTATTTGCTTTGTCAATTTGCTCTTCCCAATATCTACTTTTAAGATACAATGTTAAAAACCATTTTGATCCAGATAGAGCCTTCAAAATAGAATCAACCCTTGGCAGTGTGCAGGCATCCTTTATTTGTACCTTCATTCATCTTCTGATATTAGCCCTCCCCCCTAGTGGAACAGCGGTATGTCTGCAGACTTACAATGATAAAAACCAGGTTTGATCCCCGTGGTGAGCAGAGTACAGATAGCCCATTAATTTTAAACCACACAAACTTCTGCTATTCCACACAGAACCTTGTGAATCAATCCTACTTCTTCACAAGTATACAATAAATGATGCCCAAGGACTAGTAATCTGATCGATTACTCCTTTTTCCTTCGTGGCTTTTATATCTTTGAAAGCTTCAGCCTGATTTACAAGTAGGAGCCATCTGGGTAACTGATGTATTGGGACAGTATCTCCAATATCACACTTTGAGATATTTTATTTGTTTGGCCTAGGTTATGAGGTCCACTTTATAAGGTATTTTAATATTCTGTGAGCAAGATATGTAATTTCTTGAATTGATCAGCTGCTGTTCTTATGTAGGAATTTGACCTCAAACTTCCCACACCTTTCTTCACAGGTGACTACTACTAGTTTTCTTTGATGCAGAAATACTACCTGTACAGCCTCAATTCATGCAATGCCCTATCCAGAATTGATTCAAGAATTATGATTTGTTGTATTCATGGCCCAAATGATATATTTATTCTTCAGATCCACCAGATTTCTTCCAACAATTAATCCATCAATGCACAATGGAGTGTTTGGTTATTTTAAGGCCCAGTCATTAGATGCAAATATTTTTTTTAAAACAAATCTTGGTATGAGTACTTCACTTGCTAGTGTTACAATGACTACTCTCCTGGTTCTAACAGAAAATCATAGACAGTGAATATATTTGATGATAGCCTAAACTCAAATTCAGGTCTCTGCATGAAGTCAGTTCCCAATATAAACCTATCTTGGATGTTAGTTACCCATACAATATGAAGTAACTTCTAACTTTTCACTTGCTGGAACCTTATATCTACTTTTTGTTTTTAGCACTCCCTCTTTTTCTCCATATCTGAAAATAGTTTATTACCTTTCATTACTAAATAGGGTCAAACTATTTTAGCTATAAAACCAGGTTCAGTCAACATATTGCAAAGCTTCCCAAGGTTTCTTCATCTGTTATAGCATCTATAAATTTGTCACGTGCCAATGAATCCATATTTCATGAAAAGTGTCTGGGTAAGGTAATTGGACAAGCCTCTCCACACAATTTAAATTAAGGTTTATTCTTTTCTTCTGTACTCTCTTCCAGAACTTTGCTCTAGATACTATTTTTTTGTATGATACACTGAACCTGTTGGATAAGGCAGACACCAATAGTTGGTAGTCATTATGACTCTCAGCTGGAAGATTAATTAATTTTTTTCAAAGCTGATCCTTTTAAATGGGCAGAAAGATTAATAGTTTGATGTTTACTATTCCACCAGTTCACTCTGTAAATTATTTCGATCTTAGCCTGGTATGATTCTCATGGTAACTCCTTATCATAGTCCATTGGTTTCTCGATTGGCTGATGTTGAACTGGCCAGCTAAATTCTAAAATTTGATTTGGTACTGTCATGGTTGTAGTAGTCCAGAAAGGTTCTCTCTTATAATCTTATTGTAATTCTTCAATTTTATTGTTGTAATCACTCAGTGCATTTCCAATTGCTTCATCAATCTTGTGTTCAATCAGATTTGATTTTATTTTTAATTCTTCGTTAAATATTATGTCTCTTTATTTCAAACCCTTATCAATTCTCGTCTTTTACTTCTATATCATCTTTCAATTTTCTGTAAATTTCTTCTTGGTCATCATTTATTTTTCTGCCTCATTCTTCTTAGTTACGTATTAAAAATTTCATCATCTCCAGTAACTCTTCAATTTTGCTTCTGAATCTAGTTGCCAAATCAATTTGTTCAAATTGGGCCAACTTATATTTCGTTTTTGCCAAAATCATTCCACTTCTGATACCAGTGTTGTACTGTTTTTATTTCGTTGGGCTGGTGGTTTATTTAAATTATTTGGTGAAAATAAGGCAGAGTCCTGTCCAAGTAACAATAATATATTAGTTTATATATTCCTTAACGTTTCTAGAAGCAGCCTTCACTTGTATGCTGTTGTAACTAGTAGGCCTAAATAATTTTACAAATGAAGTTCAAGCAGAAATATCTCCATAATGATACTGTTACGACAGCGGTAGTCACGTGACGCTAGTAACACGTCATAATATTCTCGAAGGTTTGTGAATGCTCGAGTGTTTACTAGATGCGCGGTATTCTATTATATAAGACCGCCAAGAAGTGATGGCAACAATGGAATTGAATTGCAGACAGGGATAGAGACAGACAATTGAGTCAAGCGCGTGAATCGTTCGTTGTGAATTATAGCA